AAAAAAAAAAAAAAAAAGGAAGCAGATGCGGTGGCTCATGCCTGTAATCCCAACACTTTGGGAGGCCAAGGAGGGCGGATCACCTGAAGTTGGGAGTTCAAGACCAGCCTGACCAACATGGAGAAACCCAGTCTCTACTAAAAGATACAAAATTAGCCGGACGTGGTGGCACATGTCTGTAATCCCCGCTACTTGGGGGGACTGAGGCAGGAGAATTGCTTGAACCTGGGAGGTGGAGGTTGCACCCGGTGAGCCCAGATCGTGCAATTGCACTCCAGCCTGGGCGACAAGAGTGAAACTCCATCTCCAAAAAAGGGGAAAAAAAAGAAAAGAAAAAACAATTTTACCCTGAGTTCATAGTTGACAATTGTTGAAGCTGAGTGATAGACATGATGGTTCATTATATTGTTTTTGTCTATGTTTGTTTATGCTTGATATTTTCTATAATAAAAGATTAATATATAAACGTTGGGGTTTTTTTGTTTGTTTGTTTTGTTTTTGGGGGAGACAGAGTTTTGCTCTATCGCCAGACTGGAGTGCAGTGGCTCGATCTTGGCTCACTGCAATCTCCAACTACCCGGCTCAAGCAATTCTCTTGCCTCAGCCTTCCAAGTAGCTGGGATTACAGGCGTCTCCCACCACACCCAGCTGATTTTTGTATTTTTAGTAGAGATGGGGTTTCACCATGTTGGCCAGGATGGTCTCTATCTCCTGACCTCGTGATCAGCCACCTCGGCCTCACAAAGTTCTGGGATTACAGGCATGAGCCATCCACTGCCTCCAGCCTAATTCAACTATTTCTTACAACCTCTACTGTTACCTCACTGGACTAAACTGCCACCTATTAAGATCTCCCCTAGATTATTATAATAACCTCTAGTTAACCTCCCTCGTTGAGACCATGCCTCTACTGTTTTTTTTAATTCACAAAAGAGCCAGATTGGTCATTTTAAAACATAGTTTTCGCTGGAGTGCAGTGGCCCGTAACACCCTAATGATTCCCCGTCTCACTGTATGTTCGTTGTATGCTGTCAAAATCTGACAGTTATCCTTCTAACTACTAGCATATTTACCTCCTAGCATATTTTCTTTTTTTTTTTTTTTTTTTTTTTTTTTTTTTTTTTTTTTTT